GCGGCGGCGGCGGCGGCAGCGCCTCGTGCGCGCGGTTATTTATTTATTTCCGGGCCCGGAGCGCTTATAATGGAGCCGCTGTCAGCAGAACCCTCTGCTGCCGCCGCCGCCGCCGTCCCTCCTCTTTTTTTTCCCGGCAGATCTTTGTTGTGTGGGAGGGCAGCAGGGATGGACTTGAGCTTGCGGATCTCCTGCTAGAGCAGCCGCGCTTGGAGAGGGCGCCGGAGCCGCGAGGAGGAGCCGCCGCCGCCGCCGCCCCGAGGCCCCGCCGGACCCGGCCTCCGTCCGCCCGCGCCCCCGCTCGGCCCGCTCGCCCCACGCCTCCCGGCAGAGTCCCCTCGCGGCGGCAGATGTGTGTGGGGTCAGCCCACGGCGGGGACTATGGTGAAATTCCCGGCGCTCACGCACTACTGGCCCCTGATCCGGTTCCTGGTGCCCCTGGGCATCACCAACATAGCCATCGACTTCGGGGAGCAGGTAAGCCCCGGCCGCACCCCCAGCCCGGCCCGGGCAGCGCCACCCCGCACCCCATGCGCCCCGCTCGCTCTGCCTTGGCCTTAGACACCCGGGCGCCAGGGGATGGGTGCAGAGGGGAGTCACCTGCTCCGAGTCCCTTTTTATTCTGGAACATTTGGTTGGGTTTGCAGCTTGTCAAGGATGAGTTTCCAGCACTTCCTTTCCCCCCACCCCCCAGTTATTCAGCAGACTTTTCCAGCTCTCTCTGGAAAATGTTAAAAGACCAGAGGGTTTGCAGCTGCACCTATAGAAGGGTATTTAGTGCACAGCAGGAGTATTATGTAATTTGTTATTATGTAAACCTCAGGTCGGTAAGTAAAATGTTTCTAATAGCTCAAGTGCTGGGTGTTTGTCCGGGGTTGGTGGTGATGGTGATGGTGATGATGGGGAGATTTTGTATTACAATGTGTCCAAGTTGATTTCCCAGGTAATTCCATTTTTTTTTTTTAGCCCAGGTATGGATTAGGGGTGTCCAAATGTGTCCCGATAAGCCGACCATTGGCCATCTCTAGTTTGGGGTCTCTTTTGTCTTGGATCACTGAAGAAGAGGAGCACATTTTTGTTTGTTGCCTTCTCGTGGTTGTTTCTTTTTCATGTTTTTCCCCGTTTCTCCCCATGTGGCGTCATTGCAAATCTAGCGCTGCAGACTCTCCAGCAGCGGGGTATTGGTGCTCTGCACTTTGCCTCTGGGGACCGTTTTCGCAGGGCTTCCAGCGGGATGCAGTTGCATTTTAAGGGCAGGAAGAGGATGGGGGGAGGGGGCAGCAGCACGCCACCTTGATGGGCAGGTGTGGAAACTGGCCAGGGCGTGTGGTGAGCAACACTCCTGGTGTTGTAGTACTTTGTTTCTTTTCTTTTCCTTTAAGTCAAGAGACTTAATAGAATGTTTTATATAGAAAATGCACCTATTTTGATGCACTTTTAGTATTAAAAAACCAAACAGTTTTTCAGAAGGGGGTTTGACTCTTCCAGTTGATGAATATCTGCCTGGATTTGTCTCTCTGTGCTCAGAACTTTTGATTGATTGCAACTCTCTAAACTCCCTAATACTTAGCCCACATTGTAAGCTACTTTTTACTTGGAATTTTATTGCCGATAAGTATTCACCACGTAGCATAGTCTCTGGAGACCTTTGTCTAGCTAGTAAGACGACTAATTTCCTTTGTTGAAATATTTTAGCTTTTCTGTTGCCACTCCGCTCCTGCCAGTATTTCACCAGTGCCCTCGAAGGGCTTCTCTGCTGCTCCAACTCCTTCCCGCCCACCTTCCCTTCTTGCATGATTAACTGGTGACTTTGGGCATTTCCTATCATCTGTGGAAAGGTTTTTAGACCTGAATTAACTATATTGTACATTTTAGATGAGTCAAGCGCTGTGTGTTCACCTGAACCTTTCACTATTTTAAGGCTTATCTTCTTGGAGCTGCCCCAGAGGTTGTCAGAAAGCCCAGGCTATTCACCTGATCTCCCTGAGCTGTAGTGTAAGTGTGTGTGTGTGTGTGTGTGTGTGTGTGTGTGTGTTTGAATTATATAGCGATAGCTGGAGGAAATAAGAGTGTTCTTTGTCTTAATTAAATGGCCTGAAGCATACCACCGTATTGGCTCTCATTTGCTTGATTTAATACAAGGCTGATATAACTAAGGATTTGATTTTAGTGTAAGGGAAAGGATCTCCTGAGGTTACAAAAGGGAGGCTAGACATAAGAGACAACTATACAGATGGTTTATCCTAGTGGGAGTAATAATTCAAACTCATCCTTAAGACTTTGCTAACCTCAGTATTATAGCTGATGTAAGCAAAGTACTAGAAGAGTTGTCTTTTTGCACAGAAGCAAGTTTTATCAACAAGTCTTGTTTGAGATTCTTATCCTTTAAACACCAGTGTATTTATGAAGTTATAGGCCTGATGGTGGAGATATTGTATCGGAGTTAGGGGTGGAGAGATGGGGGGAAGAAATTGACAGGTTTTCAAAACCTTGCTTTGCCTTCTTGTATCAGATGATAGTTGTTTTGCAGAATGGTTCAGGGTGAGAAGAACAGAACTTACTTTTTCTTAGTATTAAACTGGAGGGAAAGATTGACAGTGAGCTACCTGATCCTGTGTGGGTAATGAATAGAAGACCACTTTACCCCAACTGCTAGGAGGAGAAATGAACCTATTTGCAAAAGTAGGTCTACATTAGACTTCTGAAAATATGCAGCTCTTGGCATGAATTTTTACTGAGTCCTAGACAGGCGGACACAGGTAGGTCTCCACCATTCTTTCAGAGTGGGCAGGTGTATGACACCTTGCAGTGAGTGCACAATGATTCATATTTCAGTAATTGACTAATCCTAACACAGGGAGATGGCATAGGAGGACAAGATCAAAACAGCCCCCAGTTTGCATGCTTTCGAGATGATCAAGACATGCAAAATTAAAAAATAAAGTATCTCATTAGCTTTTATGTCTCTGACTTGTCAAGAACAAAAGGATAATAAAGTCATTTTAAATCTTTCTGAAATGAGGGTTTTTTTTATGATTATAAACATCACAGTTTGTTGTTTCTGTAGAAAATATGCAGAGAACTTTTAAAATGGAAATGCAGCTACATAGAAGATTCCACTGAAATTTGAGTAAGCAGCACACATGTGACTGAAAAGGAATTACACATTAATTATCTCAGAGCTATTAGTGCAAGGGGGGATGGGGCTGTGAAGAAGCCTGCAACAGTCCATCCAGAGCCTCTTGATATTCTCCGTGAACATTATCTGTTATATATAGATCTCCTGTAATTTTATAGCTCAGTCAGGGAGGAAACCCAAATATTATGGAGTATTTATTCTGACAAAACTAGCAGAACCTATTATCACATTTTTCAGTGTTGGTGGTGGCAGTAATTTGAGGGGGCAGGGGAGTTGAATTCTACACTGAAAAAAAAGTTATATGGAATAGAATGATTGCTTTTTAATATTAAATATAGGCACTATAGAAAAGAATGAGAATACATCCATTATTGCAGAAACTAAAACAATATTTATAGAACCCTATAGTTGTGTAGAACACTTAATGATAATTGCAGTACATGTGGAATTATCATTTTATCTGTATTTTTACAGATTGAGAATCAGAAATGTTAATTGCTTCTATTCATTGAGCACTTAGTATGAGCTTGTAACATCTCAGCACATGTTATATATGAGGAAAGAGTCAGAGGCCTAGGCATGTTAAGTCCCTTGCCCAAGATCACACAGGCTGTACAGAGCAGAGCCTGGGTTCGGGCCCAGATCCACCTGGTCCTTCGCCATTCTGCTCTCTGCCTCCTGCGGTGAAGCTTGTGCACTGAGATCCACCCAGGAGTTCTTAGAAACATAGGAATAAGTTCTGGCTCTTCTGATTCCCAGCCTAGGTTTTGATTTAATCTTAGCTGTCATATTTTGAATTCTAAAGACTCAACAGATATAGGACAATCATAACAGGGCTCCCAGGAAAGGGAGATGGTGACCAAGTTCATGTACAAAGAGCTGAATGATCCAGATAATTAATTAAATCAACACAGTATCTTATTTTGACAAGGTTAGCACAACCTTTGGTCAATGGGAGGAAAAAAGATGAGAAATAACTGATACTTCACAGTAAAATTATTTAGAAATCACTTACTCTTTTTCATTAGAGCAATACAGATTGCTAAGGAAAGAAGGAGGATGCTAAGACAGATTTTGAACAATGTATTTCTTCAAAAGTATCTGCAAATGTCCATTTGACCGCCCCATGTTCAAAGGACTGTTATTTCTGTTTAAAACTAAACTTGTTACAAAGCTCCTGCATTCCTTAAAAGCCAAAGTCACCAAATTATGTAAAATAAATCAGTACCTTTTTTTAAGGTACTTCGTGACACTTAAAATGTTAAGGACAATGGTGCTATAAAGACTTTAAAAGAGAAAAGAAAGTTGAAATTGTTCTCTCTTAAGGAGAAATGCATTCTGCTTAGTGCCAGGTAACCCAGCTTTCACATTCAAATGATAACTAGGTATTTCAGATAGTCCTGAATGATTCACTGAATTTGGTTGGGTCCAATATGATAATTCAAAGACCCAAGATGTTTGCTACTGAAGAGTTTTGCATATGGATTGTTAGAATTACTGGAGTAAGATGTGTAATAGGAATGTTGAAATGCTTCCCAGCCCCTCTTTGTAATTTAGGAAAGCCCTTTCTGACTTAGGAAACCTGGAGTTAGGCTTCCACAGTATAAGAGGGTCTCAAATTACTAATATCACAAAATGGAAAAAAAGAAGCCCAGGAAAAATAGCTTAATAAATGTTCTTCCTGTCTACTAAGTAGAGAAATGCACCCCTCCTTCCCACCCCCCCCAAAAAAAGTCTTCGTTAGACTAGGAGGTACAAGAATAAGAAAGGGTGAATGTAGTGTATGGCGCTGGCCACTGTTGGGAAGGACTCTTCATCAAGGTCACTAAATGATGGAAGAGACCTCCCCAGGCAGAGCCTGCTTTAAGTAATAATAAAGTGTCCATTGTATGTTCCACTTTCCAAAATACTTCAAGACAGAAATGTCAATCCCAAGCTAAGTTTCTAAGTAACCGTAGGGGGGACACTTTTTTTCCCTCCAATCTGTTTTATATTAATGGAATAAATTTCAAAATAACGTGTTTTTTTTCTAATTATAAAAGTAATGTATGCAAACTGTTTAAAGTTTGGTTAAGGATTAAAATGGAAGAAAGAAGTAAAAATACCTCTAGGGGCCGGCCCTGTGGCCGAGTGGTTAAAGTTCTGCGCACTCCGCTTGAGCAGCCCAGGTTCAGGAGTCCGATCCCGGGCAAGGAGCTACACCACTCATCAGCCATGCTAGGGAGGCATCCCACATACAAAATAGAGGAAGACGGGCACAGATGTTAGCCCAGGGCTAATCTTCCTCAAGCAAAAAAAAAAGGAGGAAGATTGCCAACAGATGTTAGCTCAGGGCAAA